TTTCCGCCGCCCTCGGACTGTGAGGGGCGGCGCGCGCCTGTCCGAGCTCCGGCGGGGAGGGCAAACCGGCAGGTCCCACGTCGCGTCAACTGCGGTGCCCCTTATCTTCTTCGTCGTTTTTTTTTCCTGCAAAGGCGCGCTCTCCATCTCCCACCCCCAACTTCCCTGGGCCCCCGAAGCCCCCCGCTAACACTGACGTCTCTGGCTTGCGAGTCCCTTTCCTCCGAGGCACACGAAGCAGTGCGGCATCCCTTGTCCCCTTCCCCGAGCGGGAAGGCGGGGAGATGCGCATCGTGGCCCCTCCCCCCTTCGCGGCCCCCGTGCGGGTGTTGCGTTTCTTCTTCTGCTCCCACCACCCCTTTTACTCCCGCCCCCGTTCTTGATCCCCTAGTTGCGTTAGGGACCTGGGCCGCTTCTCTTCTGCCTTCCCCTCCGCGAGTGAGTCCTTTAACCTCCTCCCACCCCCTAGATTTCACCCCGATCTCTCATGGAAACTAACATTTTCCGCTGGTCCCTTCCAGGCAGCTGGAAGGTGAGCACCGGAGAAGCAGAAGACACTGTCCAGGGAAACTTTACAGTGGGAACTTGAATCGGTTCTGTTAAAGGTAAGCCATTCTTGTCTTACTTACAAATAGCCTCGGGTCGTTAATGTCCTCTCTAGAATCTTCGTCCCATACGGTTGTTTTGGTGATCATTTCTGAAAACGCAGGAGAGAAGGATTACCGGCAGCGAGAAATTTAAAATGTGTTGTTATTATTTTTTTTTAAGTAGACAGAATTGGATTGCATTTTAAACAGCTTAACTGGGGTGGCAGAGAGTTTGCAGTGCGAGGGCCTGGCCACTCTAGTTGATCGTAAATTATAGAACTTACATGAGCACAGTGTGATTTGATCACGCCCAGCCTATGGATGATACTAGCTTGAAACTGTTTAAAAATAACATTCTCTATTCCACTTTCACGAGAATTGTATTCACCTTCATAGTGTATCCTTTTGGGTTTCAATAGTGTTGATTGTAGCCATATGTTCTAGATGGTAGTACAAACTACTAGTATGTTGTGCCTAAATAAAATTATGCCAAGAATTTTATGGGGGAAAAAGTAACTCACCACACTTAGATTTGATTGAGACTTTAGAGTTTTAAAAATACTAACCTAGGTATTGCAGGGTTTTGTTTTGGGAGATGCAGGAAATTGAAGTGTTGGGAAAAGTCTGATGGCTCCTTGGCTGTGCATGCCTGAGAGAGAGTGCATGTGGAAAAGAGAAAATACACGTGTACAAAACCTTGTAGATTCTAACCGTGCTTAATGTCATGGCTTCACATAAATTGGAATTGTTTTTCCTAGTTCTCAGTGGTGACTTGTAAGCAGTGAATTTAATCATGTCCACACTGTTTTGGTCAGAACTTTGCAGGTTTTTGTGAAAAATTCTTACTGTTTTTCTTATTCTATTTGTAACATCTATATCAGTGTGCTTCCCTGTATTTTGCTATGGTAAGACTGTATCTTGTATGTAGAGAAGGAAGTCTAGTAGAGTGAGTTAAAAGGGATCTTTACTATGAAAAGGCATCATTGTTTGATGGACCATATGTTTGAGCCCTATTAATAAATCACACTAAAAAGAGGAAGATCTTAAAGCTATTTCAACAAATGCCCAGATGTTTAGAACAATAAAAAGAATTTCTGACAGAATTACTAGCAGTCAAAAAAGAAACGTCCTGGACAAATAACAAGCTTATTGGTGGGTCGCTATTGTGAGTTAGTATATAAGGCTGCAGTTGAAAACCAAAGTTGTTTTTGTCCTTTCTTTTCATGTGGATTTGTACTTATAAATTACTTGTTTGCAGATTTAAAGGACTATAGTTATGATTTCTTCGTAGAGATCTTGCCTTTAAGGAGTTCATAATTTAATGGAAGACCTGTACACTGAGAATGAAAGGTAGAGGAAGTGCTGCAGGACAGGATGTGAACAGGACCCGGACAGGCACTGTGGCCCCTGCCACGTCTGCTGCTCTGGACGTTCTGAAGTGCCGTTTTCCTGGACCTCATGTTTATTTCACACACCTTGGCTTCTCTCTGTAGGTGCTGTTCTCTCCTCTGGAAGCCTTTTCCACAGTCTATGTGCCTGATGAGGTTCTATTTTAAAATCTTCTTGAAGTTTGCCACTGACCTCTACTCCATCCAAATAATTGTTTTTTTTATCTCTTTCTGTTAGTTTGTTATAAAGAATGACAGTAGATTCACATTATTCACAGTGATTATGGTCTATAAAGTCACCTAGGTCACTAAATTAGCAAATAATGAACCATTGTTCTCGGGAAAAATAATTTTAAATACTAAATACAACTCATCCTGGTAGATTCTGTTTTCTTATTTTTAAAAAGAGAAAATGAGGTTCAGAAGTGTTAAGTGACTTCCCTGAGGCCACCCCCTAACAGGTGCCAGAGTTAGGATTCAAACCCTTTCTTACTGGCTCCAGGGGCAAAGCTCCTTGCACTGCACTACACTGCACTGCCCCCTACCGTCTGTGTCTTTTAGTCATCTCAATATGAGAGCTGAAAGAAGGCAGAGAGCACTGCCTTGTTCTGCCGTAGCTGGAAATTTTTGCCATTCTGTGTATGTCTGTAAATGACTGTGAAAGTGCCATTGATTTTAGGATTACAAATAAATTTTAGCAAGTAGGTGAATTTTTAAATATAGGATCCACAAATAATGAGGATCAACTGTACTTGTAAATGATCCCTGGAGTCTATTTCCTGTTAGCCCTCCTCCCTAAGCTCCCCCTCCCCCCTGTCCACTGTAGATTCCTTAGCTTCTTTGAGAGTTCATTCACTTATTCTTTTATTCAACAATTTTTTATTAAGCATTTACTGTAAGTCAGGGTCTGGTCTAGACTGTGGTAAACAAACTAGAGATTAAGCTCCTGCCCTTATAGGTGTGTTATTTAAGTAAGAGGGACAGATAGCTAGCAGTCTGGAGCTCAGGGGAGAGGTCCAGGTTGGAATTATAGATTACAGTGGGGCCTTGACTTACAAGTGTCCTGACTAACGAGTTTTTCGAGATACAGCTGTCTCTCGGCGGATTTTTTGCTTTGAGTTGCGAGCTAAAATTCGGGTTACGAGCCAGCTTCAGATACCCCACCGCTAGTTGGCGCAGCGGATGTCACAGTGATCGCCACAACATCGGCCCAGCATCAAGTGTCTCACTCGTTCACTTTTGATTTGACATACGAGTGATTTCAGTTACGAGCTCTGTCACGGAACGAATTAAACTCGTAAGTCAAGGCCCCACTGTAACTTGACCACAGTGAAACCTATTGTGCCCCCTCCCACTTCACATCCCTTAGAATACTGACTTCCAGGACATTTCTGTTCTACCCTGTGCATAACACTTCCTTTTGAGCCAAGCCACGTCCTAGATTATTTCCTCCTTCAAGTTCAATCTGTCCTTAGTTAGGACTCTGAGTCCTGGTCCAGTCTTTTATGGTCAAAGAAGTAGGATTGGCCCAGTCAGTGTGGTTTAGTGGTTGAGCATCAACCTGTGAACCAGAAGGTCACGGTTCAATTCCCAGTCAGGTCACATGCCCGGGTTTCAGGCTGGAACCCCAGTGGGGGGAGTGCAGGAGGCAGCCTATTAATGATTCTATCTCATCATTGATGTTTCTTTCTATCTCCCCTTCTCCCTTCCTTTCTGAAAACAAGAAAATTATATCTTAAAAAATAAGAAGAAGAAGTAGGATTGGTTTCATGCATTATCTGTCCCACAGATTATAGAATATACAAAAGAACCCCTTGGAGACAGTTTCTTCAGAAGACAGTTAAGACTATGGGAGTCCTTAGTCTGTCCAATTGAATGTCTGTCCAATTCAAATACCTATCACATGATCATAGATAATGTTCAATAAAGCACCTAACAAAGTAACTGACACATGCCACAGTATTCCATAAATCTTCCTTTTGGTGTTGCATGTAATATAGTGCAGATATTTGTTCATATGGCTGTCTTCCTTCCTAGACTGAGCTCCATGAGGCAGGATCCACATCCTCATTCTTCTATCCTTGGCACTTAGTTCAGTGCCTGTTATATAGTAATAGAGGCACAAGTGTATGACTTGAGGAATTTCTAACTCTTTCTGAAAGGATGGGAATATAGAAGGTTTCCTAGAGAAGGTATTTCTTAAGCTCATTTGTAAAGGATAAATAGGAATGTCTTCCAAGTGAATAAAAGTTGAGACAGCATGCTAAGTACGGACCAGCATGCGCAAAGGCACAGAGATATGAAAAGATAATAAGGTTGGTTACTGAACATTCCTAGTTGATTAAAAAAAACAAAACACGAAAAGCAAGCAAACGGAAATCACTTGAGGAAATAACTATGAATGGGCTTAGCTAGAGGGCATGTCACAACTGAGTTAACCATGACCGCAGCTGCTCAGCTATGAATGTAAGTTTTAGGGAGAAACTTTCTCAAGTAGTTGGCAGGGTATCAGTAACAGTTTAGAAATATAAGTATTGAATTCTGGGAACTATTACACTTCAGTGAAATTATTTACTTCATCATGAAACTTACATGTGTTCTATACTTTTCAAGGTTCTCAAAATATAATCAAACTGTATTCTGAAAGAGCTCACAAGCTAACAAGGAGAAAGATGGATGAACTGATTTATCATATGATAAGTGAGGTAATCTATACATATAAAAGGCTGATATGCAAAGTGTCCCTTCGGGAGTTTAAACAGGAGACCGGGAGTTTGATCGTTTGCTATGACGTGCGCTGACCACCAGGGGGTGGCGCAGAACATGGCAAACCACCAACGGCAGCAGGGGAGCGCTGAGGGAGCAAGGGAAGGAGGAGGCAGGGAGGCGGAGAGCAGGGAACCTGATTGGCCTTGATTGCAGGCCAGGCCTAGGGACCCTACCCGTGCATGAATTTCATGCACCGGGCTTCTAGTATATGAATAAAATGCTGTCTAAATAAGGAAAAAGGAATAGTAATATAGGAAGTGCTGGGGGAAAATTCTTCAAATGAGGTGATAATTGAGCTAGGCATTGGTAGGTGAAGAGGAAGGAGTTCACTAAACTGAAATTAGGGATTCTTTAAAGAATATTTTGTGGTAGGAGAGCTTTAAGAATTACCCATTTTTGCTATCTGTTGTGGTTTTTATAAAAAAATATATTTTATTGATTTTTTACAGAGAGGAACGGAGAGGGATAGAGAGTTAGAAACATCAATGAGAGAGAAACATCGATCAGCTGCCTCTTGCACACCCCCTACTGGGGATGTGCCCACAACCAAGGTACATGCCCTTGACCGGAATCGAACCTGGGACCTTTCAGTCCGCAGGCCGACGCTCTACCCACTGAGCCAAACCGGTTAGGGCTGTTGTGGGTTTTAATTAATAGTTACACTTATTCAAACAGTTTTTATAAACACAAAATGTGAATAGTTATAATAGAAGAATTTTGTGTCAAAATAAACTTGTTTAACCAAAGGTTTCTGTAATGCTGGACTTCTCTAGAGCCTTTATTATATTATTGTCCATTGTGAATTGTGGATCTCCAAAAGGGGTACATTACATTTACCCATGGCTTCTCCTCCCTCCTCCT